CAGCACTGTTCCCAATTCCCCAATAAAAATCTTTAACAAAAAAAAAAAAGTGAGAAAGATAATTTTTCTGAATACTACAGTATGTATATTTATTTGGAATAATTTGGAATTTTAATAAAGTATTAGCAGAAAGTATCTTAAGTGTTTAATCCCATAGGAATTTCTCCACAACTTTTCACCACCAACAACATAAATAGGTGTGTGTGTGTGTGTGTGTGTGTGTGTGTGTTGTGTGTGTGTGTGTTTGTGTGTGTGTGGCAAGCTGGGGGTAATTTATGTAAAGCATTTAAATAAATGATATAAAGATCATTAAAATGCATTGATTGCAAAAAATCTAATATAATTAGAATCCACACACTTTAATTATGACATAACAACATATGTAACCATTTAGTAATGTTCAGAAAAGAATTATACTTATTCCAGTGTGCTATTGAACATTCTCTCTTTGGAAATTTTTTATGTATTTAAATAAAGATTGATCTTTTATTTTCTAATACAAATTCCTGTAAAACTTTTATACTATTATATTTAGAAACAATACAATTTATTTCATATCTTCCTAATTGTCCTTAATGTTTAAAGAAGTATTTACTAAATTTCTCATATTAATCTGACAAGCAAGAAAGGCAGACCTCTTTCAAGAGCTTCATCAACAATTTACTTTGAATTTCTAAAGCTCTATTTTGAGAAATACTTACTGACTCATAGCAGACCCATGGGAAACTATAAAGTAATATAGGCCTTGCTTAGAATTCTCTCAGGAAATTACTGTAAACACCACAAAAATGTGTAATCAGAATATCCAGACCCAGGATGTTTCTGAGGGCTTCACTTAAGTACACATTTATTACAATTTTCCATAAAACGTGTTTCTTGAGGCACTAGTTTTTCAAAATACTCCTGAAAAAAGGAACTCCTACTTAAACAATTGGGAATTCTTTGCATGCTGTGTCTTCTTATTGGAAATTCACAAATCGCAATAGCATTTTAACACTCCTAACAAGTATTTCAGTAAAGTATACTATTTATCTCTGTTTAACTCAGAGATTCATACTTTTTGGTGCTATTATTGACTATAAGACCCAAGCAATTCTCCTCCACCTTGTCCCTTTTCTCCTTTATTAAATCCTATGAATTTGTAATTCCATGGAATACTAGTTGGGAAATAAGGCCTTGGGAGCTCTACAGCACAGGCTGGGAACTGTGACTTCCTGAAGGCCAGAGTGGAGTCCAGGGAGCAGGTATTTAGGAGAAGCTTACAAAATCAGGGAAATCCAGGATGGTTGTTCAAAATAGAATTACTAGTTTGATTAATATGTCATAGAGCACAATGAGTTTGCTGATTGCTTGCTGTTTTCTCAGCACGTTTACAAACATGATAAAGTGGATGAGCTACAACTGTGATATACTTAGTGCAAAATGGCTGCTCTTCTAGTTATGTGATCCCCAGAAACAGTATAACTGTTGAAGTATAAAAATGTCTTTGTTTCAGGAATGCCTAGCAAATAAGAAGAAACACATAGAAAGTATATTTTCAAATAATCGAAGTATTCACAGAATACAAAAAATTTCACAAGTGCAGGCAGGACCCGAGTTAATTTATTCAAGTAGACAAACAACTTGTACTGAGGACTCTACATGTTACTCACTTGGCATCAAGAAGTTATTTCTATATTTAAAGAAATGATCCTTGGTGATTGTAGCAGGACAACGTGAGTGTACTTAATGCCACTGAAGTGTACACTTAAAATGTCTAAAAACCCTCTTCTATTATTGGGAAGCATTTATCTTGACCAAAAGAGAAGGTACTAGTAGATGCCGAAAAGGATGTGATAGTTGTCAAAGTAAGAGAAATACTCTTAAAAAAATTTTTTTTTCCTCTGCTTGCACTACCTAAATCCTCATGCCATTAGGCTACAACAACAAATTGAAAGTGGACTTTCATTTTACACTGCAAAAAATAATATAGTTTTTTCTAAATGTAAAATGGTATTTCACAAATTTAAAAAAATTTTTTCATTTCCTGTAGATGAATTGAGTAAAACCTGTTAAGTGGGTTTTTTAGTTAGGTAGAATACATTTGATTTATCAAAGAAGACATTAATATAAGAGAATGAACAAATTTGTGAGAAATAGTCATAGACTTAGGAAAGAATAAATAAACTAGAAAAGGATTGATGAACTATAAAACTTACTGAGATGCTAAGAACGTTTAAAAACATTGCTCTCGTTGGCTAATATCATCTACTAGACTGTAAGTTTATGAGGGCAGGGAATACATCCATCTTGTTCACCACTATATTTTTCATGCCTCCAACAGTGTCTGGGGTTGCAGACACTAAATAAATATTTTTGAGTGAGTTAGTTAATTCAGGATAGAGTTAAAAAAAATACAGAAACTTGCTTTTTAGGCAATGGTTAAAAAGTGACACTAACGAAGGCATTTTTCAGTCAATAAGTGCTTTGAAATATTACCAATTGACCATGTAGATAGCTAATCAGTCACAAATTTCATTATTCATCAAATACATGTTCAACACTAGCTACCAGGCATCCAAATCTTACATATGGAATTTTATTCACAAACCAATGCTCTACATTTCAAGAGACCAATATTGTCAACACTTAAGCACTTAATATCCAATTCTTTACATGAATCTTTCTGTCTGATGGATGGACTATTGTTGAACTTTTCTCATAAAGCCTGAGCAATAAAATTATATTTCATGGATGTTCTTATATCGTTTTTAAGTAGAAGCATTAAGAAATTTTCTGCATAGTTTTAAGATATCCAGTGGAAGGATATTAATAAAATGCTAAGATTCATTATTTGAATTATTTAATATTCTTCAAAATTGTGCTATTTGCACATAAACATTAAAATTAGGAATGATTTAGTGGTGTTTTATGTAATCCTGACAAATGATTTAGAGATGAAGGGGTATGTCAGAATTTATAAGAATGTAATAAAGAGGTTATTTACTGCTTTTAAATATATATCCTAGACCTTAATTACTGATTTTTGTGTTACTTTTTTAAATTTTGAAATGCAAAAATGTAAGCAGGAAAAGTAGAAAATAGTTGCTGCACAATTAGCTAAAAGGGTCAAAACTTTGGAATAGCTTGGAGATATATTTTAAAAGCTCAGCTACTTTGATTTTTTTTCTATTATAGAACCATGAAAAGTTATTTCAACTGAATTGTATATATAACTCCTAGAGTGTAGACAGTTGCTATTATTTGTTCACTTCATCAAAATGCTTTTTCAAATTCTTGCTATGTCTGTATTACCAGGTCCTGGAGAAACCAAGGTGAAAGAGGCCCAGGAGAAGCCAAACCCTCTTTGCTATTTCTAACAAAGGAAATGCCATTCTTGCCACTAACTCTTGGAATGCTTTCCAAGTTCTCTAAAAATAATTTAACCTGTGTCAAATAGCTGTCTCATCTGGAAAACTCAATAAATGAATGTAGAAGTTAGAACGAGTAGGGGGAAAGTTAGGTGTTAAACTGAAATGGTATATCCCAGGCATGTTAGATGGAAACTCCAAATTAGCCAGCACACTTCCATACATCTGCTCAGTTTTCTTTAAACTTGAGCTATATTATTGCAGAAAAGCATAATAATCCCCACTCTGATCTTGTATTTCAAATGAAAGAGCCTGAAACATCACAGCAAAGGCACCTTTTGTAAAGGGGTATTATGAGTGGATGAATTTCTTTTGTGGTCAGCATTTCTAAATTCAAAGAGCAGATTATATAGGGAGGAAAGATGGGAGGAGTAATATGAAGTATTACCCAATGACAATGATTCTAATTTGACACTGAACTTTGGTTGAAAGAGGACATACCTATTAAATCATGCTTCACTATTAAACATTAGTTGAATTTTTAAAAATTCTCTGCAAGCTATTTCTTGGTAGCCAAATTATACTGCACTATACCCAAATAACTGTTTACATGTAGAAAGCCCAGGTAAATTCTTATACAAGTAAAAGGGAGGCTTTATTTATTTGCTCAGAAATATGGGTTATTGTACATTATTTTCCTAATTTGAAGTAGTTTTAACATGGCGGTTATTAAAAAATAATTTTAAAAATTCTAGCTACATAATTTTGCAAGGAAATTCTATTTCATAATTTTCTGTCTATTAAATTATTTAAGATTAACATTTATTATATGTTGGTCCACGAATAAAATGGCATTGCCTATAATGATTTTCAGACATCTGCTAGTGTCTTCAAGCAGAAGAACTGGAATATTTTTAGGAAGAATGACTTACCACAGGACTATTAGCTTCTGCTGGGTACCACCTATTACCTAAACCAAGAGTTTTCAAGGTAATCAAACATAAAATGGAAACATTCTTGATTTTAAACATTTTTGTATTTTCTTTTTTGATGAGAAAGACAACCTATAAAAAATTTGTAAAGAGAAGTGGCTATGGTGACTTGCATTATTTTCTGGTGACTGATACAAGGATGAAAGTGAAACTCAATTTGTCTAATGTGATAGTGTAAATACAGCTTTATGCTATGACTTTGCTTCCCCGCTCTCATAGTTTGTTTTAGAGCTTGGGGTGGAAAGAGAGATAAAAAGAGATAATATATGGACCATCTGCCATTTGCCAAGAACTGTGCTTAACATTTTACATATGGCTTCTTATTTATAATGAGTTAAGCAATATATAAGAAAAAAATTCAACCAAAAGAAATCCTTTACTTTTTATTACCTGCCAAATCTAGTAGAGTTTGTCATGTGCCTTAATAGGAGATAACATCTCTAGTAAGGAAGAGAAACCTGGTTTCTTGCTTTTTCTCAGTGTTGTTTTTTTTGTTTTTTTTTTTTGGTTGTTGTTGTTTGTTTGTTTTGGCTTGAAATGAGAGGCGTCCAGCAGTAGATAATGGCCCACGAGAGATATCTGTTCTTACATATTTTATTTTCTTTGCAGATCAGATGGGGGTAGCTGAGAGATTAAAATATAAAAGGTAAGAAAAATGGAAAACATTCAAATAAAGCATAGTTTTTAAATGATTTGATAAAAATAGCTAAAATTAATTTAAATACAAACATAAAACTTTAATTCCAAATACTGTAGGTAGAGAAAAAAAAGAAAAGGATAAGTTGATTGTGGCTCTTTTAAGAGCAAATCCAATTTATATTTAATCAAGTCCTTTATGTCATTTAATAACATTAACATTGGCATGGCTGTGAATTATAGGTATGCTATATCTCTCTTAAATATGCTGAGATATAGGAAGATAAGTGTTAAATAAAGACCAGAAACTATACTGAATTGATAACACTAAGTATTTTTCATAAATCCTTCAGTCAATTCTATCCTAAATCAGTTTTGATTTAAAAGCTACTCTAGACAATATGCATTAGTCATATACTTTCAATATTTCCCTATTTTTACCTCAGTAAAGCATGAGTAAAGTAACATTTCCAATCAAGAAAATACTGTTACCCAATGTGAATTAACCAATAGTCTAAAATTTTAAATGATTTTAAACTACTTGAAAACAAAAATACAATTGTATTTATTGCTGTATCTTTCTTGGGCTCATTACAGGGCTGTGCTTACAAATGGCAGTAAAGCTGACCTAAATGATGAGCAATTAGGATGAAGATTACCAATGTGGATTAAAGGTGTAATTCTGGTCGGGCCCTACTCTATGGGAAATTTGTGTCCCCCAGAACAGGCAAAGCACTTGCTTTGATCATTTCTACTCTTTTTTTTTCCTGTCTGCTGACCAGTGATGAGAAGAACACCACTAAACATTTTGATGATTCATTGTAAGTGTGCACGTCATACTTTTACCCAGATCTTTATGTGGCTAAAGTCTTAAGAGTCTCCCACACCAAAACTCATGTTTGAAATACAATACATTCACAATCTGAAGCAGACTTAGATGTAAGGCAGCATACTGAGAAAAAATTGATGAAATTCTAGACATTTCTAAAGAGAATCCAGCTACTTAATGACCACTGAGGTCTTCAGTGAATAAGTGTGAATATTTCAGCACAGTCCAACCTGAACTGAAAGGCAGTTCTTACTTCCAAATTTAAATACCGCCTGTGCATATAAAAAAAGTTTCATTTATTAGTCCAAAATGTTACTATGATGGGGATCTTTAAAAAACATTCTCTTAGTCTTGGGCATGTTCTTTGGCAAAAGGAAGTTGGGCAGGGTAGACCAGAGAATTAACTTATGCTTGGAGGCCATAAAGTTGAGATGTCCTGTTTTTCACCTCATGGCAGGCGAGGTTGAGCTGAACATGGTTGAGCGATTACATTTCTTTGACAGAGTTAAGATGATGAATCATGGGTGAACCTCAGCAAAATTCTATTCACCCACTGAAAAGCTGTCAGTATATGGCTACTGAGTATCATCCAAACCATTTTCTTCACAAGTGGGACCCATTCTCCTCGAGGGGCAAGTGCAGCTCCCATTCAGAGGGTTACAGTGAGCTCTGTGGACACATTGGCACTTGAGAGCGCAGTCAGGTCCATACTGGCCTGATCTGCATTCTGTGAGGTAAAAAATAAAAACAAAATCAATTCAAGTAACGCTTTTTTATCGAATAGTATTTTCACTACTATTTCTTGGAATTCAATAAGATAATGATAGACTTGTAAAGAATTCTGGTTAACCATGTGGTATCTTTTTCCCATGCTAGAATGCTGTACAATAAAAGTAAGGCCTTTAATGGAAAACAGGAGGCTGGGGCGTGTCCAGGGAGGTAGTGACAAAATTGAAAGGGGGAGAAGACAGGACAGTGACTAAAGTTTTTTTAAGTGCGTTGTCAGAACATATAACAGTCCCACTGCGAGGGACACAAGGAAAATGGATTAGTTGTCTTGAGGTCAGAAAAAGGCAACACTCACCCAGAGTACACAATAAATGAAATTTAACTTTAGGTTGAAAACATGATTGTTTGTGCTTATGTTGATGAAAATGAAATGGCTGTACATTCAACTCTTTCACCTTGTAAAGGATGTCAAAAGGGCCAGAGATCCCCTGTGTGCCTACCTCTCTAAAATCCTGCTGTATATACATAGGGGTATAACTACCTTTTAGTTGAATTGCATTGTGATTGTAACAAGTAGAGAAATGGAGGGAGGGGATAAAAAATGTTAGCTTTATCAAAATAAGTAAATGTAGACTAAAAGGTGCCCCCAGCCATCACACCCCAGCCTGGGCATTTGGTTTTAGTCTGATAACCAGCAGGGAATTATCAGAAATTAACAGGTTCAGTTTCTGAAGGATTGTAACGTTAGGAAGAAAGCCCAGCCTAGCCCATGGAAACAGAAAATGGGTTCAGAGTCAGTCAAGCTAGACTGGGGAGTAACTCAGCTTACTATCACTGTTTAAGGATCAGAGAAACTTAACTTTGCAGTATTGAGTTACTAGCTTTAAACAGTTGACAAACGAGTTCCTAATACATGAACTCAGTTGGTTCTAGCAAACCTGTGAGGTAGGCAAGGCAGTAAGGTAAGCTCGCTCATTGTTGAGAGAGAAACTGAGGTTTGGTATGGCTTAAGGGACCTTTTCAAATGGTATATCCCTGGCAAATGGCAGAACTGGCTCTCCGAATTCTCAGCTAGTGTTCATCCCTCACACCACCATGTGGAAAGACACAAGGTATCAAGCACATGTCGTTTAAAATCCAAATAAGGAGGTGGAAATTTAAAAATATCAATATAAACAATGAGGATACAGGAACTAGAGTAAATTCTGAGTCTGTGGGAAAATTTTTGTTAAACATTTCTTATTGCCTCAGAATGCTCTTTGCTAGGTTGGAGAATCAACCTAAATACTCCATAAGCAGTTGCATGTTTATTCATTGCTCTCTTGGATAATGAAGGTAGGTTAAGGTATGGTCTTGCTCTTTTGTCTTAATTAACAAGTTAGATTTTAAATACGAGATAAATGAAAACCTATAAATCAATTTTGCAATTAATTCTTTTTACAGAGCAAACAGTAATTCAATTCCTTGCTAAATGAAGGAACAACATGTAGGTAAAAGGAGCTTTGGAGGTGACACAAATGCGATTCGTGCAATTCTTTAAATGAATCTTTTCTTTAAATCATTAAACTTTATCAAAATTTAAAAAAATCTTGTGGCATTTCAAATTTAACCCAGTGCATCCATCCACCTCTGCCCAGTGTGAGGGAAGGTCACTTAACTTGGTATAAGATCTAGTTTTCTTGTTTGAAAAAGAGTTGAGTCAGAATCTCTCCTGAGCAGTTCAGAATCTGATTTTAATTTATAAAAATACCACATTTTCATGTTAATAACGATGTGTATTTAAGACATCTGTTTGAATGTCTGCAAATGTTAATTTACCAAGGGGGTGGGGAAATAATCCAATAAAAAGCTGTTACATTCTTTTATGAATTAACATTATGGTTGTTTAATAGGTCCTTTACCAGAGTTCAAATTAAAATGAGGTCTTTTATCTTTACAGTGCCTGTATAGACACAGCTGCTCACAGTTAATATCGCAGATGAACTGTTCCTAATTGAAAATAAAAATGCAAATAAAAGTCCCTGTAGTACATCTGTGTAGGCTGTGGGTACCCCAAATTGCTCATGACAGGAGGGGCCTTCAGGTGCCCATTGAGAATGGGCACGTTAATACATACGATCCACTGTCACATGGCAATTTACCTGTTGATGAAAGAGACTATGTGATATGAGAATTTAGTCCATAGAAAGTTCATAGAGTGAGGCTTTAATTTCCAGCCTGTCCATAAGCTCTTTTGGTTTATTGGCAAGTTTTAAGCCCCAGCTGAGTGCTGTCCAAAGACATTTCTGCAAGGAAGAAAATGTTCTATACTGTGCTTTACAATACTGTAGCCACTAATCATATGTGGTCACTGAGCACTTGAAATGTCATGTGTGACTAGGGAGGTGAATTTTAAATTAAACTAAATTTGAATTAAATAGCAACCTGTGGTTAATGGAGAATGCATATTGGACCATGCAGATACACAACCAAAAGCAATTCCTGTTCCTTTCTTTCCCTTGGGAGGCAGCAGAGTGGGGACGTTAAAAGTCGGCCTCTAAATCCAGATTCCCTGCTTCCAATCCCCAATCTGCCACTTAATCTTGGGCAAATTACTTAATCTTTTTGTGCTTCTGCTCCCTCATCTATAAAATGGAAATAGTGATAATAGGGAAGGCACCTAGTGTAAATTAAAATGCCTGGCAGATTATATGCATTGAGTAAACATTAGTGGCTTCTTCAGTATTTAGATGAAACCACAAATACTACAAGCATTCTGCCTTTGGTGACATGTATGTTGTGGCTTCACCCATATGTCATGCTGACGTTTATTCTGACAGATGTAGTTTAGCTGTGACAGGGTTCGGGTACTTGTTTACCATGACTCCATGGAGGATGCTGAAAAGAAAAGCAAGGATTCCTTCAACAAAGATTTGCTGAAGACTCTCATGTGCTGGGCCTTGTTCTAAGTCTTTTCTTTTTGATAAAAGATAAACATGGATCCAACTCTTCAGGACCTTGTAGTGCAGTGAAACACAAGGATTCGAGATTTAAACGAAGCAGCTTTGCCAAAATGAACATCAGTAAGCTCTTGAATTGGAAGATACCAAAGGATTCCAACTCGATATTCATAACCCCTTGGCTTTATTTTAAAAGTCTACTAAAAAGGGATAGGAAAGAATACTAATCTCTTGATGAGCCACTGGAGGTTCCCCATACTGGACTACATACAGACATTCACACATACAGTATTGCCTACTAACAGCATCACCCACGGTCCAGAACCAGACTGCCTGAGATTAAATCTTGGGTCTGCCTCTGACTACTTTTTTCTGTGCCTCAGTTTCTTCACCTGTCAAATAGGAATAAAACTAGAGCAACCTCATACGGTTGTGGGAAAGAGTAAATTAATACACACGAAATGTTTAGGATGGTGCCTGGCATTCAAAGAAAGTAGCTTCTATTGCTATTTCTGAGAAGCGAGGTGGCATGGGGGAGATGAGGCTGGGTGGATAGCATTCTTCTGTAGCCTGGAGGTTACTGTGGCTGACTCAGCATTACTGAAATCTCAGGTTACGGAATCATAGATTGGTGCTGGAAATGATCTTAGAAATACATAGCCTCAACCCTTCCTTTTTTCAGAATGAGGAAAGTAAATTCTGAGGTTAAACACTCTCCTTTAGGTCATAATCTGTGGCAGGTCATTCATTTAGGACTGTGGAGAATTATATAAAACCTTTTCATCTAGTAAGCACCCATTAAGTTCAACAGCAAGTGATGAGCCAATGATTCACTCAATCTACTTTCTCCTCATCTTAAGAGAGTCCCTAAAGATTTAGAACTTTACACTCTAGGTAGTCTTCCTGTGAATGGAAACAAAAACAAAACAAAACAAAACAACATATAAATCTCAATTCCCAAATAGCTGAGAACTTGGGTCTCAAGAATACTACCTGGACTGTACCTTAATTACCTTAATTCTAGTGATTTATCTGAATAACTTTTGCCCTCAGGGTGTTTAACTGCATCACTTGAGGTACTTACAGGGTGTCCTCTGTCAGCTGCAGTGCTGACATGGGTTCCAGTGATATAACAACTACATACCCCGCTAAGGTAAGGTGACAAGCAGTGGTGGTGTGATGTTCTTTGAGTAACATTTCTAAAATATATATATATATATAGTCTCTGTATGACCTATGAGTCAGAGGGACAGCTTGGCTCATACCCGCTTCACATCTGGCTCCGGTTCTCCCAGGTGGGCAGAGGCATTTTCCAGTTACTGGGTGGCAGGAGCTTTGCTTTTCACAGTCACAGAGTTGATGACATTTGTCTCCAAACATCCCAGGTGAACACTCTACCAAGGAAAGAGAAATGCTGAAACATTAACCCCTTGAGCTTTCACTCATGTATGTAAATTGAGATTAAAAATAGAATTTCCTCAAGATTGAGCCCCAAATAGCAAAATGGGGTGATACAATGAGATTTGCTCGTCAGAAGTAAAGAGGAAAGTTTTGGAATTCTCAGAAACAAGTTTCATTTTATACATGATTTCACATGCAGGTCCTAAAATTGATTTACTTTTTATATCCCTGTTAGAATATATGAAAGCTTTTTGAAGATAGGAACTTAAGGAAGGAGATTGAGTCTACTAGCCTAGTGTATTACACTTAATATTTTTCCTTAAAATATTATTTATTTGCTATTTCCAGGGAAGACTGTAAGCTCCTCTATATGCATAATCCCAGAATTTAACACTAAATAATGAATGACTAAAGGATTAGTGAAGACAATATATATGAAGTGATAATATATGTGTGAGGATATAGTATGGAACTAATATATAAATCCCTTTTAAAGGCAATAACTGTAATTCAAACAAAGTCCAATTACCACTATCATTATGTTATCATTATCATTATAGTGGCTATTGTTAGCCATGTGCACAAGAGCATAACTAATGTAGACTAAAATTGGACTTGGAGTTGTTTACTGAGAACTATGAAGTCTGGTATTGTTTTGAATAGGCTTGATCAGTTGTTTAGGACTTCATAATATTTTGTTTCAAACTAAGTAACCCAAATCCTCACCTCTGTATCTTCAGCCACATTCATGGCTGCATTTACTTTCTAGGAATAAATGCCTCATCCACATCTTTAATTATGTTTCATAAAGCCCTTTTATCTATTGAATTTCAATAGCTTTGAGCCCAATACATATCATTCTTTAAAAAGCATTTAATAGAATGATTATCATTCAGAGGTGGATCCTTTGTCCACTAAGGACTAACAGTTTTAGGTGTTTTGAGATATTAAACACTTTTATTTGGGGAGGATAAAATTTTGAACAATCAGCAGCAATATCAGAAGGATGCAATACTTGCATTGTCTGTTGAGTGAATTCCTGTTGCTTTAATGTACAAGTTAGAAGCTTAGGTGATTATCCCATATTTTTGCTTTGGGTTTATATTTGCCATAAGATAGAAAGATCTCACAGTCACATACAATTCCCCCATTCATCTGCTTAAAAATGCTCTGCCATACCTTTTTCACACTGGCTGCCATGGAAACCTGCTGGGCAAATGCACTGTCCATTCTCTACATCACAACTAGCTCCATTTTTGCAGTCACAGACGTGAGCACAATTCAAACCATAAAATCCAGGAAGGCATGCTGGAAAATAAAAATGTCAAAGTGCTATTTTGGCTTTAAGAATAAATACAGGAAAAATTAAAGGATATGCTTTAGGTCACTTGTTTCCCAGGACCAAAGAAGGAGACGAGAGCAGAAAATTAGAAAACAATAAAAAAATCATGTGGAGAAGCATATTGACAATAGTTTAGTCATTCAGATAAGTGATTCTATTAAGGGCCATTTTCTACAAGTAACTGAGAAGAATCCATAAAATTTTAAATATCTTCAAGTAGATAAAATTTATTTGCTATGATGTGCTATAGTCTGGCAAAAACGTCACCAAAATCCTTTAATACCCTAAACACTTAAAAGAACAATGTTTTCAAAATTTGGGTACAGGCTAAATTAAGAAAGAATGGTTTAACAAAATAAATTTAAATCATTAAATAAATAAAAGTATTTGTGGAAGGTGATTCATATAGCTCTTGATATTTTAAGTTCTGGGAATGGATGACAGAGGTGGGCATGAGAAAAGCGAGGGGGGAGGGAGACAGGAAACGGAACAAAAGAGAGAGTGTATGTTGTATAATAGGTTAATATCTTATGAGAAAGTTGTTTTAAAGTGGGTGAAAATTTTTTTTTAATTGAAATTTATTTGGGTTGACAATGGTTAGTAAAGCTGCATAGGTTTTAGGTATACCATTCTGAAATTTAATTTTTTAAAAACTTCCATGGATGGCCCATAAAGTAGATTTGTTACTTAGTATGTCCAGTATAAACTGTGTTTCTTCCATAGTTTGAAGAAGATAAATGTTTTTGTGGCTTAACATCAGAATGGTTTACATTTAGAGACCATGTCATCCAAGCAAATGTATTTCTTTGAATGCTAAAGTTGTCATCTGCCCAGGGAGATGCTCACTCTGCAAGAGGTGTGTAAGAGCTAACTAAGCTTGACTACAGACAAATACATCCATTTCCCATCTTGAGTTTTCTCTAAGGTTATGCTCATCACTCACCAATGGGAATGGGAGGGGGATGAAATGTCCTCACCCTTCAATTATTCATTCTCTCTTTTCTCTCACTCTCTCGCTCTTGAACTTTCTCTCTTCTTTCTTTCTCTCTCTGTGCCCCCCTCCCCCCTCCCCAGGCACCTAGAATTGGATTTTCCTAGACTTCACATGGGTATGACATGTCACCAGCATGCATGGCATTACAACATTAAGAAAAAATCATATTCAGGGAGCAGAAAAAAGGAGGTGAAACCAAAAAGAGATAAGGAATGAATTATTTTATATAATATATACTCTTACATTTTTGGTCTCATTATAATTCTTTAAAAAATGAATAATAAAGGAAGATGCAGGGTTCCTTCTGTTTGTTTTTGTATAATTGTTATTCAGAATACATAGAAAAAAATAGAATCTCCTTTATCGTCTTTATTTTAATTATATATAAAACTGAGCCTATAAGGGTTGTCTTACTTGACTTTTCCATTTCATTATGTAATACTATCTTTCTTCCAGGTTCCCTGGCTTGCAACTTTAGAGCCATCTTTGATTCCTTCATTTTCCTCACCTCCATATTCAAATCAATTGCTAAATATAGTCAATTATTCTTCCAAAGTATTCTGCTCATTCATTTCCATTTTCATCCCCATCCAGATTTTAAAAATCCCAGCCTATCACTACAGCTTCCCACGTAGACTCTGCTGATGACTCCTTTTCCTAATAATCAATAATGTACCCACTTTACAGATTTATTTCACGAGAGTGTTGTCTCTTGTCTGCTCAAAATCTTCCTTGATACCACACCTATAGGATGCAGAATGTATGTAGTATGACATTTATGGACTTTGAATAGATGCTTTTTCTGATCTGCAGCTCTTACTTCAATTTGAAAACAAAACAAACAAACAAATAAAAACCACAAGATGTTTACATACATACTCCCTGACCCAAGAAACCTTAGAATGGTTGGCAAGAGTACTAAACCTCAAAAGACTTAGTAAGATTTGTTTCTGTGAAATATGTTTGCCGAATCCTAAAAACAAGTTGAAAAACATGGAAACAATTTAAACATTGCTAACATCACTTCAAAGGCTTTAAAAAGCTACTTCCTTCTCAATAATTAGTATCAGTCAAGCTTTTGCAACATGCCTCAGTGCTAAATGCTTACATGTATCTTTTAATTTAATCCTCTTGATAACCTTTTAAGGTAGGTGTTATTACCTCCGTTCTACAGATGATGAAACTGAAACTTGAAGTTAATAGTTTATACATCTTTTATTTGGCAGAGCTGGGCCACATATAACTAACTCTAGAACCTAAGCTCTCACATCTTAATTGTGTTGTCCATCAGGGCTCCCTGACATCTAAGACAAATTATTGTATAATTCTCCCATTTTCTAATTTTATGGTAAAAGTATTGAGTCCAAATGAAAAAATGATATAAATAAATATGTTTAAAGCGAACTTGAAGATCTTTCAGAGTTAAGTCTAGATTAACACGAAACAAGCAGCTTCTTTGCCTATATTTTGCCTAACGGCAGTCAGAGGAAGTAGAATGATTTTATTCAACACATCAGCAGCTGACTCTTCTGAGTGGGTCTACCTGTGTCTTCTACAGATGGTCATAAAATCATAGAATTGTTTTTCAAATAATAGTTTCAAAAAGAATAAACAAATCCAATTATTTAATCATGGTAGTTGTCAACACTGAGATCTTAAATTAGAGCTATGATATACATTATAATACTATTCATTAAAGCATTAACAGTTTATCTAATTTGATATAATGTATTACTTTTATTATTTAAAAAATAGGTTTTAAAGCTTAAAACTTATTAATGCCATAACATGCCCACTCATTTTCTCTCTTTACCATGTTCACAGACTCTTCCATAGTAACCTTGGAGGCATTCACAGCTTCCAGAAAACCTGTTGCAAACTCCATTGTTCTGACATGTACAATTAAAACGGCAGCCTGGGCCATAATACCCAGGGGGACATTCTGAAAGAGAAACCACCAAACATTTAGTTCTAGTTGAGACAATTGAATTTGTAATGAGTCTGAAGACAGAAAAAACAGCAGAATTAATGAAAAAATAAAAAGTATATGACTCATTAGCTAACCTAACCAAGATAAAAGAGAGGAAGCACAAATACACACAATTTTTTAAAAAATGTGGAATGATTAAAAGGAATAAATGTAAAAAATAAAATACAAATAAATATAAAAACCTAAATGCAATGGAAAAGTTATAGAAGATAGCAAAATTATCCTAATTTGAGACAGAAAACCTAGATGGGGTAATTATAATAGAAAAACAATAAAGAAAATAGTGAAATAGCTCTTGAATTAAATAAAAAAGAAATCCCACCAGTCCTAGGTTTCACAGGAAAATTCTACAAACCTTTACAGATCAGATCATTACTCTACTATTTATACTATTGCAGAATTTTGGAAAGGAAGTAAGATTTCAAATACATTTTATTAATTGAGTATAACATCAATTCTAAAACCTGAAAAAATGCATTAAAAAACTACAACTCAATTCAATTTATGAATATTGATATGCCAAATTCATAAAAAAATATAAGTACATAGAAACCAACAGCACATTATAAAGTAATATATCATGTCCAAGCAGTACTTGTTGCAAGACTGTAAGGTCATTCAATATTAGGAAATTCATTAATCCATCATATTTATCAGCCTAAAGAGAAAAATCATATAATTAATTCCAGAGATGCAGAAAAGACATTTGAAAAATAAATCCACTAAAAAAAATTCAGTAAAAGCATAAATTAGGAACTCAATAGCTATATCTTAATATGAATATTAGTATCCAGCCTTTCACTTAATGAGGAACAAAAAACTTGAACAAATGAAATGACAGGCCACGTTTGTTCTTGGATAAGATGAGTTACTATCATAAATATGCTAATTCTCCCTAAGAGAGTAAACACAAAGGACAATAAAACAGTAAAACAAACAAAAAAAAAACCTGATTTTTTTTTTCATTTAGACAATTTGATTATAAAGTTCATTTGAAAGAAAAATAAACAAGAATAGTGCCGGAAAATCTTTGAAAAAGAAAAGCAATAAAGGGTGGTTAGCCCTGTCAGCATCAAATACATATAATAAAAACTAAATAATAATAATAATAATAATAATAATAATAATAATAATAATAATAATAAAACAGTATCACATTTACTCATAAATAGATGAATAGAACAGAACATCCAAAAATATACCTAAGTGCATATAAATGTTGAGTATTCAATGAAGCCTGCATCTCAAGTCAATGGGGAAGACAGACCTATAAAAGCTGCAGTACAATAACTAAAAAGCCATATAAATAGGGGGAAATTGATATATTCCTTATACCATACACTAAGAAAAATATTTAAAATTGATCAGAGAATTAAATGTCAAGAATGACATCATTCTGATATCAAAGGAAAATGGGTGAATTCCTCTAAAACCCAAGAATGGGAAATACATTCCTAATGTGATTAAAATTTTAAAAAATAGAGGGAAGAAAGATATATTTTATTACAAAAAACAAACAAAAAATCCTTGTGAATCATGTAGAATCTATAGTCCAAAGATGCTCCTAACAAAAGCGTATCCCTTGGGGTTCACACCCTGTGTAGTCCCCTCGTATGTAGAACGTGGGCTAATCCCATGACTTGCTTTATCCAGTAGGATGTGGTGGAATTGATGTTATGTCACTTGCAAGCCTTAGGAAGACCTGACGACTTCTGCTTTGGGAAACCAGCTGTCATATAAGAAACCCAATTATCCTGTGGGAGAAATAGGCCATGCAGTGAGGTCTTAGGTGCCACAAGGAGTGTTGTGTTCTGCATGTTTGTGTGCCTTCCCAATTCATATGTTAAAACCCTAATCTCTAATGTGACATTATTTGGAGATGAGGCCTTTGGGAGGTAATTAGGTAACAAGGGTAGAATCCTCATGATGGGACTAGTGACCTCATAAAAAGAGATACAAGGTATCATTCTTGCTCTTGCTTCCCCCGCCCCCCCATCCCCATAAGAATGAAACAAAAAGAAGACCATCTACAACCAGAATGAGAGCCTTCACCAGGAACCAAATCTTAGAATTCTCAAATTCCAGAACTGTGAAAATAAATTTCTATTAAGTCACCTATGTAGTTGATGACATTGTTATAGCAGCCTGAGCTAAGACAAGGAGAAAGTAACCATGTGGAGGAAAAACAAGGTGGCAGATGTATAAATGAAGAGGTTATTTTCTATATTTCAACCCAGTTGAATCTCCAGAGAACTCCAACCCAAGATGTCATCTGAGAGAAGAATCACTCAGCTAAACCCAGTTTACCCTCAGAATCATGAGGGATAACAATAAATTGTTGTTTTAAGTCTCTAAGTTTTGGGGTGGTTTGTTATGTATCAATAGATGACTAAGTAGGTGGCAAACATACTATTGGCAAAATCAAAACACAAAAGATAAACTTTCCCAAATTAGGGTGAGTAATTCACAATAAACATTAAATATCTCTAATATATACAGGATTTCTAATATTAGAGAAGAAAAAGCCAACAACCTTATAGAAAAATGAGCTAGAATTTTGAATAAACAATTTATACAAAAAATGTAAAAGGTCCTTATCCATTGGAGAAGATGTAAAACCTCATTCATACTAATAAAAATGAAAATTAAAACTCCACTGATATAACATTTATCGTCAAAATTTTGATAACATACTCTTTTGATAAAGCTCTGAGGAAACAGGCAATCTATATATTGCTTATGAGGATGTAAAATGTTTTCAACCCCACACAGAGGAGAATTTGTCAATATGTTGCAAAATTGCATTTGTATTTACCCAACGATTCAAAAGTTTACATGATAGACTACAAATAAGTTAACAATATATTTTAATTATAGTCTAATTTAAATAATTAATTAATAAAGAATTAATTTTAAATGATCAGATAAAAGTTAAAATATCCCATGTCCCAAAATGCTGAAGTCGTCCAACTTAGAATTTTAAAAAATCCAATATGAACAAAATGGTACTATTTTTAAAGTAATGCTATTAATCTGATTTAGTCATCTCCAATATCACAAAATTGGTAAGAGCTATCTCCCATGAATTAGGGAGGTATCCACATTAAAAAAAATCCGTGAAAATGACCTTGAATGTTAGATTTAGAAGAGAAATGTTAGACTTAGAGTGGGAAAACCAAATCGCAGAGAGGCTGTGAACTTCCCAAAGCCATAGAGTTTAGTATGAGCTGAGCGGGGTTGGCATGTGGGTCTATCCATTCCCACAGCAAAGCGCTTTCTTCTATGCCACCTTGCCAAATTTCATGCCAGTGAAATTCATAGTGAAGGATGGTGGGTATCACACCCGCTGTGACAGTATGTCAGGGCAGAAGGTCTAAAGGGCCATATCCCATAGCTGAAACCATCTAGGTAAAAGTTCACTGGGAATTTTTTTTACTCAGGGTGCCCAAGGGTAGGGGGGCCCCAGCAGTGTTCTGACCCACACTTTGCCTCACTGTCAGAGCCCTTCTCCTCCATTCTGCCAAAACACAAAATCATCTCCTACAATAGTGCATTCTAAAGTAGGGTGCGTGCTCTCCAGAGTTTTACAGAATAATCAATTGTGGTTCAAACAGAAAACATTAGAACAACTATTAGTATTTATCTTTATCCATTTTTCATCAATTAAACCTTTATATATGTTTTATAATATATACATAATGCATTAGTTGAGAAGCACATGAACGATTCTTATGAGTAAAAATGCATTTATAGTGGTCGATGATTACATTTTCTTGATGGAATAAAGTTTGGAGACCTCTGCTCCTAGAGTCCTCCTCTTTATCCCTTGCAGCTGGCCCACTCTTAATGTGAACTAGCTCTGCCCAGGGCCCTGTATCCTCTACTCGGCTGCCCCAATGTCTCAGTGCTTGTTGAGGCCCTTCCGCCTCATGCCAAGAAACTCAAGGTTCGGAGATTTGCCATCTGCAGAGGCTTCAGGCTTCAGAACTGGCTGGAGGAAGAGTGGATTTAGGTCTCACAGGAGCTCTTTCACATTAACACTATTTCAATTACAAGAGTTTTCATGTGGTATTTTGGTAACAAGTTAACAAAAATCAATCAATATTAACATAACACTATTTTTATTGGAAATGCAATCATTATTATAAACAGCTTGCGTGAACTTATTGGAAAGCAAGTTTCTTCACAGGCCTCTACTGTGCTTTGTCAACCAATGGCAGTATGCTCTACATTTTTATTGAATGCAAGAAGGTATTAATCAACTTACCTTTTTCACAATAATTTCCTGTCCATCCAAGGCCACAGGTACAGCTTCCATCCACAGGATTGCAAAGACCACCATTTTTACAGGTACATTTTAGCTCACAATTTGGGCCATACCTTGTTTGGGGACATCCTGTAGTAAAATATATATGAATATAAAATATATATGCATATATATATGAATAAAAATGTCACATGAGCATATTTCTCTGCTTCAGGTAATCATATTTAAGTAGAAAAGCATAAGAAAATTGTTCAAATTAAAACAAATACTCAGATTATCCTTAAGGTAATAAGCACATCACCGTCCTTCATTCATGTTTTCATTCACTACATAAATATTTATTAGCTCATAATTATGTGTCTGGCAACTGGAGATGCCCTAGTGAACAAGCAGAGGTCAATCCCAGATTAGCAATGGCAGCCTTTTATATATTTAGTCTCATAAATGATAAAGAAGACAGATGAGCAGTTTGTTCTTTAATGTCTTCGTGCTGAAATCGGAAAAGCACTTCAGCCTACAGTGGTGAGTGACACAAACAAAAATGCACTGCCAAGAGGAATTAAGATACAAGTGAGTGAAGCTGACCAGACATAAGGAAAATTGAGTCTTCATTGTCAGGGGGAAAATAACTGAATGACGGCAAGTGCCACCCGTGGGAGAGCAAGGCTCTCTAAAGCGAGACTAACCACTACTGGCATTTAGTTGGTTTTGCCATGAGAGTATAGGCTCAACATAGCCAGCTAATGTAATTTTTTTCAGGAAAATTAAAAATCCATATTTTATATAGAATCACCCAATCTTTAAATGTTGGCAACTAATTAAAATAGTTTTATAGTACTGTGGACGCCAAAACTATGTCAGCCAATTCAAACACATTTGTGGCTAGATTTGGCCAAGGGCCTGCCATTTATACCCTGCAGTTTGTAGTGTTTTTACAGAATGATATTTTCCACATGAATTATCTCATTTAATACTCACAAATATAATATCCTTCTGATGTGGGTACGTTATTCTTATTTTATACTTGAGAAAACTGATGCACAGAGATTTAGATTTGCTTAGTTTTAAGCAGCCAGTAGAGATGAAAAACCAAGATTCAAATCTAGGTCTTCTGACTTCTCATCAACCATTCTTTTAATTCCAGCTAACATTTGGTCAATACATAAGAGAACGTGTACTTGAATTAAATCTGTGTGACACTTTCTTGTCTTTATTTGACTGAATAGATGCACTTCACTTTAGTACCAAATGGAAAAAGGGTTTTCATTTTGTCTATTTAAATAACAATTTTAGTTGTATAACAAATGGTTGGATTATCATCACATGTGTAATAGGCTACCTTAAATTAACTGTTAATTATTCATTTTCAGTTTTTGCCTTTGAGGCAAATTAAGCAGAATCAATGACATGAGGTCTCATACTATTAAAATAAACTTTCATCTGTTTCCCTTCTACCCTTTTAAAACAACATCATCAGCCAGGAGGCCCATTCATTTTTCAACCTGAATGTTGAAAGACATTGATGAAACTGGTGAATCTGTGAAAACATAGGACTCCAAGATAATACTTAGGACAAAAAACGTAATGGGAAAAGTGAGATGAACTTAGAAATTATTTTTCCCCAGGACTAAGTCTTAGAACAGTATTCACACAGAACTGTCTATATAACTTTACATATTGCTTTTTTAAAGTTAATGTAATTACCTGATAAATATTTCACACACTATGTAAAGGTACATTATGGAAAAAAGTATTTCATCCAGTCTTCCAGGTTCCCTTGTCAAAACATCATTGTTAAGATCTTTTTTTCTGTACCATAGACCTCACTTCTTTCAAAGAGACTTATTCTGACCACTCGATTAACAATTTTAACCCACCAGCACTCTCAAGCCCCTTATTGTGCTGTTTCATTCCCTATTAACATACATATAATTAAGTTATTAATTATGTTTATTGTTTATTGTCTCTCTTCTCCACTAGAAAACAAGTTGCATGAGGATTAAGATATTGTGATTTTATCCATATATTCCATATGTTTAAAACAGGCATTGCATTCAATAAATATTTGTTTAATTGAATAGATAAATGACTGAATAGATTCAGAAATATTCCATGCCTAATAACCCATACATATGTATAGCTCTATTACCTTTCAACTGTTTTATCCAAAAGGTTAACATAGATAGATAATGTGAAATTTACTTTCCTCTGTAATAAAATTTTCCAAGATTTTTCTAAACTAGTATGTACAATAGAACTGCCTCATTCTTTTATAACAGCTGCACAGGATTTATTGCATCTAACAAAAAATTATTTTACCACTCCACTATTGATGGACAAGTAGGTTGTTCAAAATATTTTGCTACTATAAACAATGTAATGAATATCCACATGGAAGTCTTTATTGATATATAACATTATACCTGTAGGGTAAGTCTCCAGATGATTTTCTCAATAAAAAGATATGTGCTTCTAAATCATGACATTATCAAATTTCCTTACAAAGACATTTGCAAATTTAATAAGAAGGATTATTAATGTGCCTATTTTTCAATCTCTAGTCAAACTGGTATAAAAATCTTACAAACATTATAAAAATCTGATAGGTGAAGTGATATAAGAGTATAATTACAACTTTAATTTGGATTTCTCACATTATGAATGACACTTATCATCTTTTCATATGATCTATTGGGTGTCATGGATTTTTTCTAATTGATATACAAGAACTCTTTGCTTAGTAAGACAATTAATGCTTTGGTTCATCTTTCTTTTTTCATTTTGTTTATCTTTTGACACTGTTTTTTGTTTTATGCCTTGAAGAAATTTTTTTTCCTTTTAAATCTAAACACCATTTTTTTCCTTCCTTTTGTGAGTTTTGCATTTTTGTAAAGATTTGTATATGGCTTTCCAAAATAAAACAATTAAAAAAAATCCTAATGGTAATGCTAGCACTGTCAGTTTTGCCATTGTTTAAGTACTTTATACACTTGGAAGTAATTTTGGTGAATAAAGTAATGTAGGGATCCAACTTTATTTTTGTCTAGATTCCTGGTCATTTGACTTAATATTAAATAATTCATATTTTCCCTATGTTTTACTTTAATAATTCCTCATTTTCATTGTAAGTGTATTTTATTGTTTTTATTGTTTTTTTTCCACTTATTTTCATCACTTCTTATTCACTAACATAAGTATTTTGGAATATAAGTTTTACCTTGTTTACTAAATTAGCTTTATCCCATAGCTAATTGGAATGTCATTAATTTCTATTTTTAAATTTCTGAATACTGGTTTTGTTTGCTTTTATTAGCCATGGATTATTTAAGAAGGTGTCAAAATACCCATGTGGTATAGTGTGGTGGGTCCCCCCCACCCCCTGGCAAGAGAGTTAGTTTTGTTATTAGTTACTGTTTTATTGCCTTGTGATTCTAGAATGTCATACTTTGTGGAATTGCTTGACTTTCTTTTTCAAATTTTGTAAATGTCCCATGGATACTGTGAAAAAAATAGCATAGTATTTTTTTTCAGGGTGCAGAGTTCAGTTTATAGCAATTAGTCATACATTATTAATTATGCTCAAGTTTCTATAGGATTATATTTTTATGCATATATGTATACAGTTATCTGTGTATGGGCTAACATAAATGAACTAATCTTCTACTGATAAGTTCTTGTTGCCTATTTCTGCTTCTAGCATATGACTTTTGCTTTATGAATTTTGATTCTGTGCTATTTGTTTTATACATTTCCTTTACACTTAAATCTTTGGTGTGAATTTTACCCTCTATTCTGTTAAGTGCCCTTCCAATTAGATGCTTTGCTACCATAAAATCTACATTGATGTTGAGGTCATGACTACTGATTTACTTTTGCTCACATGTGCGTGGTGTATCTGTACCCATTTATTTACCTTCATTTTATTTTGGAGTCTTTTCTTTCTAAACTAAGGTGGGTGTTGTTTCTCTCTTGCTGTTTTCAAGGTTTTTAAAATTTACTTATTTATTTAGTTTTCAGAAGTTTGATGTTGATATGTCTTTCATGGATTTCTTTCAGTTTGTCCTGTTTGGCATTCACATGGCTTCTTGAATCTGTCGGTTTATATTTTTTTGTCATGTTAAGGAAAGTTTTAGCCATTATTTCTTTGAATACTGTTTCAGTCCTGCTCTCTTTTGCCTCTCTTCTGAGGCTCTGATGACATACATGTTAGATCTTTTTTTTAATGTTTCAGATTACGTTTATGGTATGGGTCTTGAGGCTTTGTTATTTGTTATTTTTAAATTTTTTTAGCTGTTTGTTTGTTTTTTTCGCTTTCTGTTGTTCGGATTGGGTAACTCCTACTGTTTTATCTTTGAAGTCTGTCTACTGTTTACTGTCTGTCTACTGTGTTCCTCTGTCTTCTTCATTCTGCTATTAAGCCCACTATCCTTTGAGGTTTTTTGTTTGTTTGTTTGTTTTTGCTGAGCATTTCTATTTCTTCTTTTATTTATATTGAAGCATGTCCATAGTTGATCACTGAAGCATTTTTTATGATGGCTTCTTTAAAATTCTTATGAGATGACTTTATCATCAATGTCATCTGAGTGTTGGTGTCTGTTAATTATTTTTCTTATTCAAGTGTCTTATTCAGGTTGAAATTTGCCTGGTTGTTGAACATAGGATGAATAATTTTTGAATGAAGCTTGGACATTTTAAATATGATATGAAATTCTGGATCTCATTTAAATCTCCTGATTTAGTAAGTCTTCTATGACATTGCACTGGTGAGGAAAGTTCACCAGATAGAGGTTGAAGTCCATGTTCCTCATAGAGACTTCAAGTGGGAGGGGGATAAACAGGACTCATTCCTGCTGGACCAGTGTGAGAGTTCAGGCCCCCCACCAAGCCTTTGCTGCCACGTCCCTGACAGAGGGGTAGAGGTGCCTCCTTACAGCTCCCCACTTGACCTCTACTGACACTGTATGGGGTAGCCTCATTGCTGTTTGGTAGAGGTGAAAGTCCTGACTCTCTACTATAACTCATCTGACGCCACCCTAGCAGAAAGAGGTGGTGTCTTCTTACCATCTGGTGGTGGTGGAAGTTCACACAATCTCCATAGTTTGCACTGACACTGCCGGGGTGGGATACATTCTTATCTGGCAGGGATGAAAGTCCCAGCCCCATTAGCCCTTCTCTCACACTATGCTGGTGCAGGGAGAGGGTTGCCTCATTACATCCTGGTGGAGTTTGAAGTGTGGATTCCTCAGCTGGCCTTTGCTGATGGGGTTAGGGTTGAGGATGCAGTTTTATTTTGTAGTGTGACTAGAGCAGGCTGGTTATTGTCTAAGTTTTTTGTCTTGCTAGTTTACCTTTTTCCTTGTCTTTTGACTAAAGGAAGCAGGCTTATCTTGGACCTTATTTTATCTGCACTGATTAGCCTTTCTGGGTTTTGGGCTTCTCTGCACCCAGTTCAGGATATGTAAGACAATAAAAAAGACCCAGGGAACTCATCATTATGTTGTTCCCCAGGTCCCCGCTGTCCCTAGAGTCTACCTTCTCTTCACATTTTAGAGATTCTTATGTTTGCTTTTTATGTAGTTTCTAAAATGTTTATTGTGTTTGGAGAAAGGAATAGGGATTGGTATATATACTCCATCTTTCTCAGTGGAATGCTTATAATTTTATATAACCTAGAGAATCTTCCTTAGGCAGGGCATAAGATATGATATAATATAATGAATTTCTTTATTTGGTACATTTGACCCTCCAGTATGAGTGGTGATGGAATTAATATGATTATGCTTTCTTCTAATTTTACTCATTCTTCTCCTCCACTTGATTTTAGTTGACTACATTTTTACTTTTAAATTCTCAACTATAGCATTTTAATTTCCAGAATTTACCATTATACATTTAAATATACTTATCGAGTTGCCATAATTAAACAATATAATTTGACACAGCTCTATCCCTGTCATCCCACAACTACTAATGCCAGAGATTTTCCATTTATTACTGGGTGGCTCAAATTTATCTTTTATTAGTTTTTTCAAAATATTTTATAGCTACCATACTCCCAGAAACATTTTATTATTAAAAATATGTGTTTATTTTCCATCATGTAATATTTAAATAACAGTTTAACTGTGTATAAAATACTCTTGTCATATTTTTTTCCCCAAGAAACTTCATAGGCATTGATTAACTGCATGCTAGCAATGAATATTGCTGCGAAGTATGAGATAAGATTGAGCCTCCCTCATATGAGATCTCATTATTTTTTCTTATATTCTCAATGGAGTTTTCCCTTGTCTATGATCAATTTTAGCAAGTATTTCCAGGGATAGAATGTATTCATTTCAATCTATAGCATCAGATCTTCTTTCATTTCAGATAAAACACCTTGAATATTATATTTGATTATTTTTCTTTCCCATATAATTATTTTCATTTTCCTCAAGCATATTCTTTATGTACCTAGCTGTCCCATCAGCAGAATCCATCCTATTACTTGTGTTCAGCGTGGCCCTCACTCATATGATGTGAGGTTTAATTTTCTTTTCCACTTCTTTCTGAGCTCTGCCAGCTTATTTTTTCATTTTCTTTTGTTGTGTTTTCATTTACTTCATGAACCCTGTATCTCTGCATTGCACTCACATTTTATAGAGGCTGTTTTTTCATTATGTCCTTTGAATTCCTGGAAGAAATTCTGGTCAATATTTTCACGTGCTCCATAACAAAACTTTTCTGCTCCATGTTGAATGCTTTCACATTTTGTTTGCAAAACGAGGAGAGCTTTTTAACATGTATCAGTTCAGTTTTTCTTTCTTTCTTTTTTTCATTAACTTAGCTTTCTATTTCTTGGGTATTTGTGGGAAGGTATTATGGATTTGGGGCTAGAAAAATGATTTCAGCTGGTAGGAAGCCTCCTTGGCCTCCACATGACACAAAATTGAAAGAGAGAGAGAGAGAGAGAGAGAGAGAGAGAGAGAGAGAGAGAGAGAGAGAGAGAGTGTGTGTGTAGGCTTAGTCTTCCTTAGTGCGTAGGCTTAGCTGCAAGGCTCCTTACTGCCCACAGAGTTCTCTGTATCCTAGTACAGAGTTGAAGAGATGACTTGTCTGTTCACTTCTTGGTTTTATCCCACTTTTCCTGCCACTCTATTGTGTCCAAGGGATTCAAGGAAGCTCCTGCGGCCTGACCATGCACCCAACCCTTGTGTTTCAGCAACGGATCATTAGTTTTGCCCGTGTGTGAGCCATGGAGAAGTGGCTGCACACTGCTGGCTGCACTCAAGAGTTGTAGGGGCCCAGCATCCTTTGCACGTGTCCCCATTTCACTGAACTTGACAATTCTTCTGTTATTATGATTATTATGATGATAATAAATATTATGATTTAGGACGAGAAACTTTTGCAGTTTTAAACAGAGATCATGGTCGTTGTTTTTTCCCCCTCTTATTTGTCTTTCAGCTTCCAGTGGGCTTATGAAAGTTTAAAAGGACATAAAACTCTTCAGTTCTTATAATTAGATATCTCTAATACACGATTTCCAGTAGTTTTACAAAAGTTAGCCAAAGTTATTTTAAAATTTACCCCTAGTCAAGAGGATGCAGAAATTATTCTTTGATTTTGTTTTCAATTTTTTTTACCCTCTGGAATATTATATCCTATATAGTTCTACAGGAACGTGTACTTTCATGTTATTAAAGCCACATTTAAGAAAAAAGTGTTGTAAACAATGCCTATTTAATTCTATTGCCTAGTTTAGCATAGTTAGTGCCTGGATGAACAAGCTGCCCTGCGGCCATTGTTACCTTGCTGACACCTGGCTCCTATTTGGCCAGGTGAACACTGGCACCCTCCAGTCACCGGGTCACAGCGTCCTGAGCCGCAGGAACAGCGCCGGACACAGTCCTGCCCATAGTGATCCTCAGGACAAGCTGCAGAAGGAGCAAAACAAAAGCAGATTTTTCTCATTAAAACCTATTGCCAGTCAAGATTTTAAAAAACTTTTAAATACATGACACTTTTCTTTAATCAATAGGTTTCCCTCACTTGTCTTCAATTTGGATTTCAACTTAAAAGGTTACTTTGAAAAACAAAACAAAACAAGAAAAGGAACTGTTCAAATTGTTGCTTACTTAGTGTAATTTTAGTTGACATCAGGAATTCCAACCAACTATCTAGTGTCAAACAATTACATATATGATATAAATGACTCTTACAAACTCATTCTTGCTTTACCCCATGGCTGTCTTAGCAAGTATGTATGTAAGTGCATGTGTGTGTGTGTGTGTGTGTGTGTCTGTGTGTGTGTGTGTGTAATAATATTTAGTATGCTTTCTCTTAAAGTCTACTCTGGAATTTTAATTTACACTTTCACACATTAATATAAGATCCATTATGCTCACATCTCCAAATATTTATTTATGTATTTACTAATTTATTTGTAAATCCATTATTTATCAGAGACCAATAAGTTTATTAAATTATCTTTCATAAATTATGTTTATTAAATTAATCATATGAACTAATGTACATTTAAAGTTAATTTATTAATAAATTAACACATTTACCAATTTGATTGTTTTGCTGTAACCTCATTCCACAAATTCATTGGGATGCTTACCAAACTACAGGTAACAGAGAAAGATAAAATAAATACTATGAGAATCAAGTGAAGGGAGAATCTAGTAACAATACATGCATAAGTGAATATCATAATTCCTTAAACTTGTAAGAGGTAGACTGCAAGTTTAGCTCTGACCTATCTAGCCACCAAAGCAAAGAAGGAAAACTGTTCAGGTACAGAATCACAGCTTTCTGAAGACAAAAATATTCCCCATATTCAGGGAAACCATAGCTTTTGAAGATGCTTTGGCCTGAGAAAATTAGGAAATTTCTGTCAAGGATTCTCTTTGAAGAACAAACACAAAGGAGCCAGTGAGAACGTTTAGGAGATGTTTATGGGTTGGCTTGAATTCAAAGATAACTTGGCCATGGAGGCCTCAGAGGCAGGATCCACCAGGTTTCAATTTTCCACTACTAGGAGCCAGGACTATGTCTTATTCATCTCTTATCCTCAGAACAGCAGGGTACTGAGGCAGGGTAATTAAAATTACCCTCATAAAAGACTTAGCAACTACCTGCCTGGCAAAGATAAGCATTTGGATATCTTTAGCATATAACATTTTTTTTAAATTTTAATTTTTTAATTACAGTTAACATTCAATATCATTTTATATTAGTTTCAGGTGTATAACATAGCAGTTAGACATTTATATAACTTACAAAGTGATCCCCTGATAAGTCTAGTACCCACCTGGCACCATGCATAGTTATTACAATATTATTGACAATATTCCCTATGCTGTAATTTACATCCCCATGCCTATTTTGTAACTACCAATTTGTACTTCTTAATCCCTTCACATTTTTCACCCAGTCTCCCAACCCCCTCCCATCTGGCAAGCATTAGTTTGTTCTCTGTATCTATGAGTCTGTTTCTGCTTTCTTTGTTCATTTATTTTGTTTTTTAGATTCTACATATAAGTGAAATCATGTGGTATTTGTTTTTCTTTGTCTGACTTATTTCACTTAGCATAATACCCTCTAGGTTTATCCATGTTGTTATAAATGTTAAGATTTCATTCTTTTTTTGAGGCTGAGTAATATTCCATACATATATATCTTCACATCTTCTTTATCTAATTGTCTATTGATAGGGACTTAGGTTGATTCCATTTCTTGGCTAATATAAATAATGCTGCAATAAACATAAGGGTGCATACATAAAATTAAAAATTGAACTACTTTATGACCCAGCAATTCCACTTCTGGGTATTTATTCAAAGAAAGTACATAACAGCTTAGCAACTGCCCTATCACAAACTCCATTATCATTCTTCCAAATGAAGAAATCTCAAGTTCACAATCACAGTACTTCTTTTAATTTAGTATCTATTGATGGTTCTTTTACTCTTTTAATTGTTAAGTACAAATTACAGAATAGTGCAAAAAACATAAATGTACATCTCAATGAAGGATCACAAAAGGAACGTCTTTATCAACAGCACATAGGTCAAAGAACGTAATAATGCCAGGGCCACCTCCCCACCATGTGCTCTCCTACTGATTGCTTTCTCTATCCTCCCTAAAGGTCATCTCCATCTTGCAAACTGTCCAAATACTATTTAGAAAATGGCAGATCTGATAAAAACATTAATTTTGTTTGTTAACAATATCCTCAAAGTGTTTAATCCAGTCAATTTTTAAGGGATCTTTAATTTACAACCAGTTACTTAAAGTTTACGTCAATAGTTACTTTTATGATAAGTAGTTGAGGTCTTTGAGTTTTAGGGAATGAGTTACTTTTTGGTAAGTAGGGGAGCTGCTTAATATTGAGCTGGAAAATTGCTGAGGATAAATGAAATTGTGGAACTTTAGATAATGAGTTTGGCATTGTGTATACAGGAATCCCCACTCTGCTCTGATCTTGCCAAACACATTTTTAAATCTTGACTTGAGTCCAGCATTGCTGGGGCAAGAGTAGTCCTGACCAAAGTGCTCTCTTTGGCTGTGTTCACTGACTTCAACTGTCAATCAAACTCCTGATATAAGTACTCCTCAAATTTTAGACCAGTTGGTTTTTGCTGTTACTGCAATAAATTATTAAGTAAAATAATTGCAACAATATTTACTTCCTAAGTGTGGTTCTTTAAAAAATTCTCTTTTATCATATCCATTTCATAATAGGCAGAATGACTTACTTTGACCACAGTCAGCCCCAATAAAGCCGGAAGTGCAGTCACAAGTGCCAGTCATGGTGTCACAGTTGCCGCCATTCAGGCACTTACAAGTCCTTTGGCAATATGGACCATATGTACCTTCTGGGCATTCTGTTGAAGGAGAATAAAACCTTATGTGGTAGTGTAATTTGAAGCAATTAGTGTTTAAAGTCATGTTCACAGGTATGTGGTTAACCCAACATTCTAATTACTATTCCTTGGTATTTTCAATCACCTTCAAGCTATGGACTCAAGGCATGGAATTATCTGAGGATACAAGATGATATAGATAGATGCCTTACAAATATAGATGGGGACATAAATTCCTGATGCTGCTCATTAATAAGATATAAGGAACTTAACTTTGAGCTTCCTTGGACATCTACCCACTTTTAGAGAATACTCAGAATAGGAGACAATTCACCAAATAGGGCGTTTTCATTCCAGCCTATATATATTTATTATTTTGGTTAATATTTAAGTGTTATAGTTTGTATTGTCTGGAATGATCTGGGTTTAATATAAGTAAGAATTCAAGATGGCACCAAGCAGTGAGGAAGTGTTTATTTTCTGTTAGTTTCTTAATTTTCTACTTTTAGATTCATGAATGTGTGGCCTACCATGATAATACATGTTATAGAGATAAATAAATGGCCAGACTTCAAGACAAAGGGAGACCGAACAGTACAAAGAGAGAGCTGAAAACCACATTATCTGTACAGTGATGGAAAGATTGGAGATATTTAGCCAGGAGAACAGTCCAACTAAAACATGGGTAGAGGACATGAACAGACACTTTTCCCAAGAAGACATACAGATGGCCAATAGGTATATGAAAGGATGCTCAACTTCAGTAGCTATTGGGGAAATGCAAATCAAAACACAATGAGACACCACCTTACACCTGTTAGAATGGTTATTATCAACAAGACAAGTAATAACAGGTGTTGGAGAGGATCCGGAGAAAAGGAAACTTTTGTACACTGCTGGTGATATCAATTGGTATAGTCTCTGTGGAAAACTTCAAAGTCTTAAAATCATAGAAATTTGAGTTTCAAGAGACTTTACTATCTGGTTCAACTCTTATTTTAAGATGAGGAAGTTGAGGCCTACAGAGTGAAGTGACTTGAAATATTTATTGCACAAAATTCTTTCATCAGTAAAAGATTATATATTTACTTGTTATATATTTAAAACATAATGCTGTAGCCAAATGTGAATAGACATGATTTGAACCCTATATCTTTTACTTACAGTGTTATGGCCTTGAATAAATTCTTACTTTGAGCGCCTAGTTCTTCCAAAGGGGGTAATAACAAACTCACAGGCCTGTTATAAGAACTAGGGTGAAAAAGTAGAGCATTTAGCATATTGCCAAATCCAGATATCTCCCAAGTCAATGGTAGCTATTATTTTCATTGACAGTGGCAGGATCATTGGTGGGCATGCAGGATAACTATTTCCTTGCCTGCTTGACTTGCATCAAAATATTTGATATTTGCCTTAGATCACCTTGCTTGGAAAATCTTTTCATTTGTGGAAGTATAGCTCTGAAAGTGACTACACTAGACAAGATAAAGCTTTCTTCTCTCCCTTTTATCCCATATATATATATATATATATATATATATATATATATATATATATATATATTTTTTTTTTTTTTTTGGTAAGAATCGGAAGGTAAAGAACATTTTTTAAAAAGCATTTCACATGTAGCAGGTTTTAGAGATAGAAACAAACAAAAAAAATTGTTTTACTGAGATTGATTCAGATTGTTTATAATCCCCCATATATATCCTGTCCTAAAATCCATGGTTCTCACCTTGAGTCTCAGACCCAAAGAGTTGCTGCTTCTTTCCTCTCTTCCCTTCTCATTTTAGGACAACATTCTCCATGATGGAGATGGAAAGCAAAACACTTTAAAATTATTCTAACCAAAGGTTATTTCTCTATTATAGCTGTTGTATTTCTTTATTTAACTCTATGAAAAATGATGGATTTACTTCACATTCTCCTCTGTCATTTCTTCCTTCCAAGGGATGTTGGTTTTTATAGCTAATTGACCTTTTTTTTTTTTTTTTGGTACACAACATTCTTTAGTTCTACCAAGAAGTTATTTTTCTCCTTCACAAAAATTCAATAGAGTGCATCTACAAACAAAATTAGTGGTTGAAAGGAGTCTCCACTTCCTCCTCTCGTCCTATTCACCAAGATAAAAAACTCTTTCGTGTCCATCTGGGTCTGTCTTTTAGAATGTAAATTTTTGTCGTTTTTTATCAGTACTATGTGCGATGCTTTAGAAAATGTTTAGTGAGTTGCTTAATATTAAAGTCACTACACATAAAGTAAGTTGAAGGCATGGAGTTCAAAACAATGAAGTCTAGTATGTACTGCTGGCATGTTGCTTTCACCAAGGAGGTTAAATTGATGAGTTTTGATGAGTATAGAAAATTCTGGAGTCACATTACTGTGAAGTGGAAAATGACATGGATTTCTGTACAATTAAAGAAAAGATCAACACCCGATAAAGTGAAACTTATGAACTTATTAATGAGGAAAATGTTAAACTGTGAATATAATTATAGATATCAAAGAATCAGAATCTCAGTTGAAAGGAAAAAAGAGCTTATGTGTAATTATTTGATAAATTTAAATAACTGATACATGTAAAGGTCTATATTTTGAGATCACTTTTATGTGAATTGAAGTTACTTAGGAAGCATAATTTCCCTCTGATGTATACCCATTTTGCACACTATCTTAATGGTGGTTTTTGCATTTAATAGAATCATCTCTTGCTGTTCATTTTTTGTATTATAAAAAAAAATCACCCAATTTTTAGCTTTCAACTTAGCCTTTTGAAATTGGGACACTGAACTTGTTGAAATTAACCTGCTAATGAGTAGACTATCTGTTGAAAGACAAGTATATGTGCTAATCTCTTAGTCCCGCAACTTGTTAAATTTATATCAAGTATGTTATTGTTTACAGAAATTTCCATAACTTTTTTTCCCCCCAAGAATAAGTTATTTTATGGACAACTACACTTTCTAATATAATTCTATAGCTATGTAAAAGTTTGACTTCTGGAATCATGCACACTTCCCTTGCTCAAATGTTCACTACAGTTCATAAGAAAACACACGACTGGGAAATAATGATTTCATTTGGCTTGTTTGAGTGAAATTAGGTCTCCCTGCCCTCATTTCCTGAAGTTCCATCTTGATCATTACTGGGCCTTTGCTTTACCATTTGCAACTAAGTACTTCTCCTGGGAAATGTTGTCTCTCTGGCAAGGGATGTTTAGTTATTTTCCTTTAGAAGGTGACTACTTTTTCCCATCCTTGCATCATCCCCTCTCCTTGAAGGAGATTGACTAGGAAGAAGCTGGGATCTCAATTCACAGTTCTGATTTGTTTAAGTGTTAAAGGCTACTGTATACTATGATGATGTAAATGGCTTTCACTAGAAAATTAGAATAAGCAAGGTTGTGACTGTATCCTGAAGCACTTATCTCTGAAGCAGATAAAATGCAAAAGTCTGTTTTTTACAGGCTCTGTTGCCCTAGTATTTGACCAGCTTACTCACATATACACTAGCCATTATTATGCAGTTTTATCTTATACTTAAAGGAGATATTAAGATTTGGTCTGTCTGAATTTCTATTGCTATGAGCAGGGGTATTAGATATCAATGTCTCGACATCCTCTTCCTGGCGCAGGTGAGCTCTTCTGTGGTCCCTGTTTCTCAAAGCATTCGATATCAAGTGTGATAGTGTTTTGTGAATACTGCCAACAGAATTGCCCATTGTTTTAGAGGACTTCAATGCTTTAAATTCTCTCAGAGTCATTATAAATAGTGAGTATTAAAGGTTAGAGAAATACAAGGTTTCCAGGGTCCGTAGTCACTTTACAATTTCTTATGGCCAAAAATACATCACATGATGAGTTTACATCTACCAGACAGTTTGTTTTCCCCACATGTTGAGACTGACCTGCCCATTATAAATTATGAACAAGTGGTGAGAGTCCTACTGCACGTTTGTCTGCTTCCTCTGACCTCTGCTGAGAGAAAATTTTGATTCTACACTCTGAACTTGAGAACATGAAAGCCCAGTTGTTTTTGGCTGCTGAAACTTTTGCTTTGAGCCAGCTACACCTTTTATGGATATTTTCTTGAACCCTTTTTCATAGTCCTGTAATTACAGTGGATGTTGCCAAGGAACCTTTGCAGCAACTTCCAACCACGTGTTGCCTGGAACTAAGCCAATCTGACTAGTCAAGGAACGGCTCCCAGCCCCAGCCTTGCTTTTACAAGGCGCAGCTATCCTTCTTCAACCCAAGGTAGCTTGCTTTCTGAAATACAAGTACTACCAGCTATATGTAACTTGATATCATTTTATGAATATAAAATACCCTTGATATCTGGAAGGAATCCTTCCTGAGAAATGTGACAGAATCAAATGTGAGGGAATCACTTTTTTCTCCAGTACAAGGGTACTTGAAATTTGCCATCACTGAAAAATAATTAAAATTTTACTAATTTTATATTTTACATCTTCATTTTAAGTTTGAATAACTGCAATGGTTATGGGCTCCAAACACAATACTAATTGAAACCATTTCATACACCCTTAATTGTGTGTTTAGCTGGTAATGTTTAAAATTAGGACAAAAAAGAAAAGTGATATTCAAAATATACATTCTGTGGCTTGTAGAAAATTAAAATGAATAGCTTGACCATAAGTCTAGGTTTTATAGGTGGCATTTGGGGGGGAAATCCAAAAATCATCCATATACTTGCAGAATTGGAAAGGAAAGCAGAAGGAATCTGCTATGGGAGCAACTAAGGAGAAAGGAGAGTAGAATTGGCCAAGTTGGGGGAAAAATGAAACTGAGGCCAAATCATTTTATTCTTAAACCTATAAAAAGTACATTACAAATAATTACAAGCTTAAAAATTAAGTAGCTGACTGAACATTTTAACATGCTCCTTGGGACTTTTGATCGTGTGTTCTCCTATAACCATTTTCAATGTTAAAATGTCCTAACAGATCAAAATAAGGTATTTGGTGTAGGAACTATTCTTTTTTTATTACACAACAATGAGCCAACTGGCATTTTATCCTTTAAGCAAGTCATTGTTTTCATTCCAGAATAACAATTTGGTTAATTTGATTGTTCCTAAGCAGATCCTGGAACTTCCTTTATGAATCAGTTTAATATGCTGCCATTTGCTATATATTGATTCATAATAATCAGTTCATATTTTCTTTCTTCTTTTTATATAGTTCTTGTCCTTGGGGGGGGCATATTTTGACTAGAAAAGGCAAGATAGGAGAACAACTTACGCAAGAAACTATATGTTTTCAACCCTTCCAATAAATATTCCCATAAGGTATGCTATGAATTTAAAGGTTAAATTAACATTTGCCTTTTGGCATTCGGAGTGATGGACCCACCTTATCGTTGTCTCCTCAATAAATGACAACTATAGCAGAGGACACACTTACTGAGATGACAGCGGTTTCCATGGTAGCCAGGCAGACAGGTACATCTCCCTGTGACTGGGTGGCAGTCTTCATTCTCGGTTGAACACTGACATACCTGTTTACAGTCCTTCCCATATGTGCCTGGTGGACAAGCTAAGGGGAAGAGGAAATGTAAACCCAATGAATTAAATTTGTCTGTGTAAATATAGCTATAAAAGTGAAAGCAGGGAAAAATTTATTAAATAAGACTATTGCCTACAGAAGTGTGCTGCCCTTTGGGATTTAGGTTTCATTAAATTTACTTGGGGATTACTTCACTGTTTGATTTTGTTTTGTTCAGTCAATTTGTGACCGACTGTCAAGGGCCGGGTACAATTTTCTTGTCACTGGAGAAAATCATAGGGTGATGTCAGGTAAAATCAACTGAAATAATAGTATAATTCATGAGGGACCACATATCTGGATAAAGATATTTTCTCTGGTGCAGCGGTTTAAATTCTCAAGGTTGTTTCTCTCTGCACATTAGCATGTACTGTATTTGTGTCACTTGTCAGCTACTCTACTGGGTTGTGCTGTTTCTTTTTACAATCTGAACAGTAAAAAGCTTTTGCTCCAAATCCTCCATAATATCATGCCATTTTGTTAAGAAAATAAAAAGGCTTTTTGGATATTTTTCAGCTAACAAAACAGAGTCAAGTAGACATTTTGAGTTTCATGGTTGTGTCTAAAGACAATTCAAACAAATTCAGTGAAAAAAAAATCTGACAACTTGGTTATTATGTATCCTGAAGACATAATATTGGAAAATAATTTCTGGATCAACCCTGTTATTTATCACCTAGAGTGTGTGGTATCATGAACAAATGAACCTGTTTTTAAAGATGTCACATTGGAGAAGTTATTGACTGTCTCGTTCACTGCATCCGTGTTTTTTGTTGACTGTCCCTGTGTGCGTATGTTGTCACTTGTTTTCTTAGCATCCACTGTCCTTAAGAATATTTCATCTTCTAGTGTTCTTTAAGTAAAAAAATGATAGAATGGTAGAAATTCAAATTTTAAGGGGCATTGGTTGCTTGTTGCATATTAAAAGCAAAGGCTGATGAAACACAGGGCGATGAATACAAAAAGAGGGTTTTATTTTCCCTTTCTGACTAGGATATATACAAACAAAAGAGCATTAGGTGGAATCTGACTCAGTTTCTGAACAGCTATTTATGTAGTTTGCTGTTGGGTCTAGATAGATATTCTTTTACCTGAGACTCACGGATTGTTCAAATACATACCAATAAAGCATGTATCCTGAAATTGCCAGGTACGCCAAAAAGCATATCTGGCTTTACTGCCTGAAGAAATGGTTAAGCAAGAATAACTTGCTTATTCATGGCATTTCAGAGGTGACTGGGAGTGGATGTGTGTGATTTTCTTACTCCTTTCACCTACTGTCAGTAAGCACATGAAGACATTATCGACATTACACTGTGATGAAAGGAGCTCCCTAATGGGAGGTTTCTAACATGAAAAGCCAACAACCAGGAAAATTAAAATATGTTTTGTCAGAGGCTTCTGATAACTTTAGAAACCAAGAGCTGCAGTTATTAAAAATTCTTCCCATCAAATTTCTCCCATCACTGAGAAACCTTTTTTTTTTTTTTTTTTGGCATGGAGTTATGTGAGATAAAACATGGTTCTCCCGCAGCAAATGTGGCCACCAAACCCTATGCTGTATGGATATCAATGATGCTGAGAAGTCAAAGTGGCTGTGCTGAACACAACAGGATTTGTGTTTTAAGTTCCAGTATCCTAATCTATTTAGCCATTTTCCATCTTGAGGTATGGGGCCCACTGGCATAAGGCTTTAAAGGGAAGGGACATTTGAACCAGTCTGCTTTGAGAGCCATCATGAGTATCGTGCTGGTTGGTCTGCAAGCATCTGTTAAAAGTTGTGTGCTTTACTAGAGGAAATGGCATGAAGTTTGGGTCAGGTAGGCCCATCACTGCCATTGACCTTATCTCTGGCTTTAAATAAGTTATTTATGCTCTAAGACTCTCTATCTGTTGCCTTACAGCCGATTCTTAGACCACTCCCTCTGCATTAGCCTCTGACCCATTAGTCGAGAGAGTGTCTCGGTCTGAGTGGGACCTGATGGACTGATATCAGCTGTCTCCCCTGGGAGGACATGTAATTATGTCTTGGGGCAATGTGGTGGAGTACGAAGGCATAGCATTTGCTGGAGTACACTGGGAAAAGGTCAATGGAAAAGGCCTTAAGGCGCACAAGAATACACTGGTTAATGACTCACAGCATAGCAGTTTACTTCCTTGAAAATAATCAATAAAAACCATGCATCGACCCGATTCGGTGGCTCAGTCTATCTCTGAAGGCTGAGTCCCTTGGTCTCGCTCTTAAATCTTACTTCTGTCTCTTGTTCTTATTCAATCTGCGCCGCCCCTCTCGTGTCCCATTTGCCCTTGCCACGCTGGACGTGGCATCTATCTATCTATCTATCTATATAGAGATGTATATATACATCTCTCTATATATACATATATATGTATATATATAGATGTGTATATATATATATATATTACAATGTAATTAGTAAAATTTAAAATTTATCTTGTGGATTGTTATGTTACTAGCTTAGTGGACATAGTAACCTATAAGAATCTCATAGTACCTCAATAAAATTCTCAAATTCATTTCCTTTTCATGGAAACACTTATATTTAAAATCAGAATCAACTGTTTAACAAAGGTATTTTATATATATGGGCAAACATCATAAAAACCTTCAGAATATTTATGGAGAAAATTATCTAGTATTTAAAGACCATCTTTATATGTATCTGCTATCAGGAAAAAAATATATTTCTAAAAAAAACATTGAAATCACATGACATGAAGTTTTTGAAACACATATAAATAAAATTTATCCATATTCTCATCAATCATTCAGTGTTTGCATCATAAAACCACTCACAAATGTTCACTTCTTCATCCTAAGAAGAATTTAGGCACATCTTTACCTTTGATTCTTGAACTCCAGAGGAATTAAAATTGCAGAAGATAAAAATAATGTACTCATGACCTCCTAAAGTTGTTAAAGTCTGTTCTCAAATGGATGTTTAAAGATATTGAAGGAACTTACAATATATATTGCAAAGCAATTAAAAGGAAATCAAAATGAAATCAAGAGAAAGCATTCTGAACGTTATCTGAAAAGAATTTTTGAGAAATATTAGAGTATTTTTTAGGTAACATATGCATCATGAAACCATCCATCAATTGCCACCTGGGCAACTAATGATTCTGTTGACTAAGGCTTCAGAGGAAATCAAAGTTAGGGCAAAGCCTGCCTCATGTCTTCTGAAAGAGAAGATGATGTGTTAGTTTATTGTTTCATGCTTCCTGATAGACTTCACTATGGGGCATGACTTAACCCATATTACAAGATGTGCAGAATTCTGGAATGTTTTCATTCAGCCAAAGAATATTTCTTGGATACTTACAATGTGTCAGGTTCACAGCAGTGAGCAAAACCAAACATAATTCTTATACTCACCAAACTTGCAATAGTGGGGAGATAAACACAATAAAATAATCATTCAAATAAAATATCTAGTTTAAAATGTTATAAAGGTACAGGGTGCTATAAGAGAGAATCACATAAGAGACCCCAATTTGGACTTGTGGGTGTGGGATGGGGGATGTTAATTCCAGATGTTCTCTTTGAGGAGACCACTATTTAACTGAGATCTGAAATACTAGAGGAAGTATGTGTAGTGGGAAGCAGAAGGGAATAGAAAAATGGTAGAGAGGTGAAAAAATTTCCAGAGGGAAAGGCCCAGGTACATATGAGTTACTGTTAAAAGATCTAAATAGTATTTTGGAGATGGCATATATATATATATGTGTGTGTGTGTGTGTGTGTGTGTGTGTGTGTGTGTGTGTGTGTGTGTGTTAGACAATAATCAGGCTTACATTATTTTAAATGTTTCTGCATTAGTTTCCTATGGCTGCTGTAACAGATTACTACAATTTTAGTGCCTAAAACAACACAAATTCCTATGTCATAGTTCTAGAAGTCAGAAGTCTAAAATCAAGGTATTAGCAGGTCTGTGGTCCTCCTGGAAACCTGAGGGGGTGGAGTTTGCTTTCTTGCCTTTTCCAGCTTCTAGAAGCCACTTACATTCCTTGGTATGTGGCCCCTTTCTCCATCTTCTAAGCCAGAAGCTTAGCTTCTTTCTTCTCTGATTGGCTGTTTCCCTCTCATAAACCTTCCTGATTACATCAGACCCATCCAGATGATCCAGGAAACTCTCCCGACCTCTAAGTCTCTAACTAAATCACTTCCACAAAGGCTCTTTCGCCTTGTCAGGCAACATATTCACAGATTCCAGGAATTAGGACATTGACCTCTTTGAGGGTTTATTATTTCACCTAACATAATTTCTGAACTCCCAAATATTTCAAGTAGCTTCTGATTTAGCCCTTAGAGATTATGTTATCATATAGGGCCATGTTCTTAATAGCCTCATGCATGTCTTTATAGAAATCAATACAAATATCATATTTTGAAAAAGCTACATGATATAAAAATTATATGGAAAAACCATCACCAATTATTTTAAAAATAATTTTATTTAGTATTAATGGGTCTAAAGGGCAGGTTTTAATCACACTGAGAAGCACTTGGGATTCTTGGGAGAAGGTTGGGGCCCAGCAAGAACCTGGGAAGCAGCTTGAGTACCCAGATACACCTACAGGGACACTTAGGAAGAAGAGACTTCTCAATGACTAAAACTCAGAGACATGAAGGACGAACTTCAGATCACAGTGGAAGTTTCTAGATCATGAACCACTTTCTCTTTTTAGTGCTCTACATAATAACATTATTTCCCTGTTCATTTATTCCATTATTAAAAGATTTTTATTAAAATATAGTGGCATACAATATTATATTAGCTTCAGGTATACACAATAGTTATTCAACATTTATATGCCTAAAGAAGTGATCATCATAAGTCCAGCAACCATCTGATACTGTACTATTCTATCACAATATTATGGACTGTATTCCCCATGCTGTATGTTACATCCCCATGACTTATTTGTCTTATACCTGGAAATTTAGAACTCTTATTCCCCTTCAC